CTTATTTCCCTTGCTTTTGCATACTGCACACGATGGTTTTTTGTTGCATTCTTTCGCAAAATGCCCCTTCTCGCCGCACTTGACACAACATTGACTCCTGTCATCCTCGCTGGTACACGCCCTTGCAAGGTGGCCATATTCCATGCACCTGAAACGCTTTCCAAGGTTCAGCCTTTCCCTAATTCTGCAGACGACCCATCCAACTTTGATCTTTGAGGCGTCAAGCAGTCCTTTTGGGTCGGTCGCCGGGAGTCTGATCAATGCTGTCTGGATACCCGCGTAAGCCTCTCGCATGTTTTTGACCGCACCTACACCGATTGTGCTTAATTCTTTAAATTGCGATCGGATTGCCTCGATTATATCCTCTTTAGTAGTTATTTCGTCTAGATCTCGGATCTCCATAGATATCTCGTGGATGAGGGCTCTGATCTGCGCTTACTCGCCTAGTACCTTGCATATCTCCTTTTGATATGCTCCCGTGTTTGTTTGTTTCTAGAAGAATTTCGCCTTTTGCCGTCTTCCTAATCCGCGATACGTTCTCTCCAAGTTCTTTTGGGGTATCTTCCTTTTTGACAGCCCTAAGAATATCGCCATCCGGTCTTGGACGTAGAACAAAAGTTGTTTTCTTCTTCTCGCTCTTCGTTTTATGCTTCACTTCTATTCATCATTTTCACTTTTGGTGTCTTTCATATCATTTACAGGGTTGCTGTCCTCATATCTTTTGCTCCCATTAGCCATATTTTGTCCTGCTCCTTGATTGGCTTTTTTCTTAGGCGGTGTCCTTGGCACTATCTGCTCATTTTTGCGGGGCCTCTTCGGCGTTGAGTCTGTCATCATGGATTTCAGGAGCACATTTCACCTGCTTTCTTTGCACTTGTTGAACTCCTTTTGGGCGCGTCTATGAAGCTTCATCACGGAGCTAAGCAGGTCCCTAATTTGGTTATTTATAGACCTCTGTGGGAGGCTCATTGCCTCAGTCAACTTTTTGATCGTCTTCTCTAGCTCCGCCCCGCCATGACGCCACCAGCCGGTTGCGTCACTTCCACTAAAGGCGCGCTGTTTTGCAGCGAAGGGGGCGACGATCTCGCTCTCACAGGCTTTTCCACTGTAAGCACTTTTTTTGCGATTGCACCAGGCTTGGTGCACGTTTAAAGGATGTGTGTATGTGTGCGTGTGTATATATGTCGATATTTCCCCTGTTACCAAATCAGAAATGAATACTGAATGAAAAAATTCTTAAGTTTGTGTTATACGTCTTACTAACCCTGGCTACAGATGTCTACGCGTGCGCTACACACGCCTAGCTAAATGTTTAGTATCAGTGTCCCTATACAACACAGAGATCACTAAAGTTCACCAAGTGCCAGAAGTTATGAACTCTAAACTCAACTTAAAGGAAAACAATTGACAAAAAAAAAAAACAAATAAGACTGATCATAAGGCGAAAGGTGATGGAAAAAAAAAAAAACCAGTCCTTAGAAGTATATACATATGTATGTACATATATATTGTATGTATTTACACAACAAATTTTATGTAGTACACACGTACATATACGCTGATAGATGTCATGCATAACTACATATAAAACAAAAGGTTGCTTATGTCAATGGTCCTGCAACGATCCTAAAATAAGACGCCTAAAATTTCAATCGCAAGCTGCTTCCTTTTGCCGTTACGTACTTTCGCGCGTCATTTACATACTCACAGTTATCAAGGGGCATATGTCTTAGGGATGAACGCTTCAGAAGTCAAGAATTGGGGACAATCTCTACACAATCATACACGAATATGTTACGTATATTTATGCGCATAAATTATTTAGAAAGAAACTTGGTGCTTCCGAATCAGTCCGCAGGGATATTGATTTCTAATGAATTGCTTATGAATATGTCTACCCTCCCCCGTAGAAGTTTATTGTGGTAATGTGTACAGATGAGAATATGTATGTATGCATATTTTAAAAGTGTGACATTAAACTGATCCTTAAAGTGATCCTTCACCCTATGTATATATGTACATATGTATGAATGAATGTACTTTCATACATACATACGTACATACGTACATATGAACATATGTACATATATCAATTTGTGAAAACTCGTGTCAAATGGCGTCGACGCACACGACTACTGGATTCATAGCTTCCCTCATGTTACATATTTGTAGACAGTTGCGGGTAAGCGGGAATATTTTCAAGTAATTAAGGAACATTTTGCATTTGAAGTGTTCAAAAATAAATACAGAGGTTATTTTTAAAAAGCATTCGCCTCAGATTCCAGTTTTTAAGATTGATAAACCCATTTCATAAAGCCGATTCTTCTTATTCTTGTTCTTTGGCGTAGACACTGCATAAGCGTTTATAGCCGATTCAAAATCGGCGCTTTCTTTTATACTCGACGTGCAATAGAACTTCCAGCTGGCTTATTTTCTACTGAGTTATAGTTTGCATTTCCTTACAACACCAAGATATTGAAGCTGAAGGCAAATGAGATATTATGAAGAATCTTTAGTATATAAATATACAATACAAAATAATAATAAACATGAACTGTGTGACGAGATTTTTCTTAATGTTCCAAGTTTAAGCGTCAATTTAATCAAAAATTGTTGTTGTTGTTTTCATGTTATTCGATAACTTACCTAACGTTCTTTTGCAAGTCGGGTGTAAAACTCCAATAGCGAGCAACTCGCTTCTTTTTTTATTTTCTGCTGTTTGGCAGTAATTGGAAACCTGGTGACGGCTACCACGGTTGTGGTTAGCATTGCGTACTACCATTCAGAGGGTTCAACATCCAAAAGTTATAGAAAAGTAATTTAAATAAAAAATTAAGTTAAATTTTCTAATTGCGGTCGCCCCTCGGCAGGGAGTGTCAACCCCTTCGATTGCATTTCTGACATGAAATAAAAGCTCGGAGGCGGCTTTGTATAAACTGTTTTTTGAAAAAAAAAAAAAAAACATCAAGACTCAAAACCACAAATTAGAGGAGAAAAAAAAAAAAAAATGAAACCAGAACCCCACTTGATATTTTCGGCAGATCTTCCTCTTCCTCTGCTTTCACCAGCTGGTACTACATCGAATACTTTAAAAACTGGAGTACTTTCATACCTTCGGCCGGCATGACTTGGGCAGAGCAACCAGTGTCTCTTTTTCCCTGAGCTATGTGAATGTCACCGTGTAACTTACAGCTTATCGTTCCATCATTTGCTGTATTCGCCGCAAAATCTATCTCTCAAAAACCAAACTAACACCGACTCATTGGATGTGGACATTGTCCACGTTTCTGCACCATATATATATTCGGCAGGACAGTAATGAACCACTTATGGAATTTAGTTGTTAAAATCCTTGTGAATTACGAGATTGCTTCTAGTCTCTCGAAAACATATCATTTTTAGATCTTTTACAAACGTAAATTTCATAAATTAAGAGAATTTTTATATATTCTTAATATTATATAAGACAAGAGACTGCCCGCAACTTTTCCTGCTTAAAATTTCTTAATTGGTTTAATATGAATTTTGATTGGTTCTTTCTCTTAACCATTTATTTTACAATATATAAGTTGTTATATTAAAATACTTGAATACTTGTAAAATATAAATACGTTTTTTTTCGAATATAAAAGACTTTGTTCCACTTCCCGTAAAGAAAAGTTTACCATGTATTGACTTATACAAAGAGATATCAATACTCCGAATTCGAAGAAAATTAAACGAAAAACCAAACAGAAAAAAACCGATCCTATCTACACGAATTTACTAAAAATAGACCCTCCGAGGGCAGTCATTCAGGACAAACCCTTTCATAACTAGCAAGGAAACCAGTGAGTGAGAGAGCCGCTCAAAAGGCAGACAGTAAAAAGTACAAAGTACTTCGAAATCTTTCTCAAAATCCTTCAGTACCTAAGTTCACATGAAAATCTCTGTTAAAGTTATAAGCAAGAATGGTATAGGCCCTCGGTGGCGTAGATAAGAATAAAATTAACAAGAAACAGTGGCGAGAAATTGAAAGAAAAAACTTCTGTAGAACCACTATTTGCGAGCTAATGAATGCCAAACGAAGCTTTTAATTTAAAGCTGAAATGACATTTTCAGAAGCAATTTCTTAAGGAATAAAAAATCTCAAAACTTCCCACACATCTTTTGGGAGCTTCATGATGCTTATGGATCTTCAGAATGCGCTTTTTCACTCAAAATTCATTTCTTGGATTCCTCCTTCTTCTGTCATGAAAATCTCATTGTAGCATAAATTTACTCATATTTGTATATCTTTTGACTCTAAATTTCATATTTATAATTCGTTTAATTAAACGGTCTTTATTTTAATATTAAACATTCATACATACATATGTGTTGAATTATTTGCACATTGAAGTCCGCGGAGCATTAGGAGACTTTTTCAGTTACATTTGAATCCGTGCATTTACGCAGTTTATTATTTTCTGCTTGGAAGTAGTTTCCTTAAATATTTAAAAAAAGATTAACAATTTGAATTTTTTGATTGAATTCAACAGTTGAAAAAAATCTTCGATAAAGTTGAAGATTTATGTAAAACTTTCTTCGCAACAACATAATTCTTAGATTTTCAAGAATGTTTCCTTGATTGAAAAGTTAATAAAAACAAGAAAAAAAGCTTTTTTTGCTACGTTTAAACCTTTATATCTCTGATTTTCACTGTTAATATTATATTAAGTGGAGTTTACTTGTGTGAAATCTCAAATCTGAAAAATCAGTCGAATGTTATGGTGGTTCGATTTAGCGGTTCCGAAAAAGAATCAGAAATATTCATCTTTGTACCAAGTTTGGTTAAAATATATTAAAAACAGACTAACTGATTTTAGTTAAAACTTACGAACATAAAGGCAGTCGGAAATTGCGAAGTTTTGTAACTTTTTAAAAAAACTTTCAAGAATTTTAGACCAGAATATATGTACTCAGAAGCTTTCACTTGTTCTATTAATATGGCAGTATGAAATAAAAAATAAATTTGTTCTTGTCATATGTCTTGATTTGTGTACATTCATAATATTGAATTTCGGAAATTTTCAAACTTCGTTTATAAATTTACATATGTACATAGTAGTGAAATCTTGAAAGATCTAAAGATCACTGTAAATCAAATTTAGTGTGCTATGGATTCCCAACTAGAAGTGAATTTCGCAATAAACCCAAGTAAACACAATACCGGACGGAATAATAACCGTTGGAAAGGTATGACGCACATATATATGTATGTATGCGAATATGTCTTAAGGTCGAGCTTCAAAACAATTAAAAAGACCTAACGATATTTTTAACGATTCGGAATTTCTACAAACATTATAACAATTTTCGGATCGAAAAAACGACTTAGCGCTTATTTTAACGATATTCGCAATCGCTGTTGTCGTAAACTACTCATTATTTCATTTAAGAGAGTAAAGTGATCACTAGATGGTGCTAATACTCTTGTTTATATTATTAATAATTACTTTATGTAGTTCTTTTTTACCTTAAAAAAGTTAAAAGACCAAAAAACAGGCCGAGAAGGTATGTGTGTATGGGTGCCGGAGCCAGGAGTGCTTTCTCGATGTCATTCGGCTAATCACTCACGAAGGCAAATAAACGAAAAGAAACATGGTCAAATGCGTTTGACCCTTCACAAACAAACAAAGTGATACTGAGTTATGATGGGTGATTGAAACAAGTTTAATTGATTAAAAGAAATGGTGTTGCTGTCGCACACATACATATCTGTTCGCCAGAAAAAAATTGATGGAGTATGATTGGGAAGTTTTGATGCATCCACCAAAAAAAATTTTGCAAAACTTTCTTGATGGTAAATAATCGTCCAAGTTCTTCGCCATTTAGAAGTCAGTGATGGAAAATTTTTAAAAGATCATACCTCAGCTTCTCTTATGTTAGACGCTACACATTTCTTTTTCAATTCTTGCATCACTATCTATACTTTCTACTTCAAAGCGAACTTCACTGTCGAAGAGTATCCTTGAAGATGTTTAAACCATTCCATTCCTATGCTTTTGTTCGGTATATTTTGGTTCGGTATATTTGTTCATATGTATGAGTATTTTTAAAAACACTTGATGTACTCGAAAAAAGTTAAAGTTCTCTCAGAGTTACGAAGTAATTTCCCTCTGGCTTTGCAATCGTTCGGTTGCAGTGAGCAATTACCATTCCATTAACCTGCTGGAACAACACGCCCGCCTATACCACAGTTGCTGAAATCAGTATCCAAAATAAAAGTTTCGGCTAGAACTGGGTGCGCCAACATGGGGGCAAAACATAGCCGCTCCTTCAGGATCTGGAAAGCATCCTCCACTTTCTTAGGGTTTTTCTTTTAGGATAAAAAATTAATGCTTATATATGGAATATTGGTTGGAGGGACTTTTAGTTTTCGAAAAGAACACTTTTTGCGACTTTGTTTTAAATCAGATCCTACTATTCTTTAAAAAACGTTCCTTTAAATCCTTTAAGTGTTCTTTGAAATTTTAAATAAAACAACTGTCGTACATCAAACAAGTTTTCCAATATAGTCCCTTAAGCACATCGTCCATTAGTCAGTGTGACAGTGGCAGAGGTATGGCGTAAGCGAATGGCATTATTTTAAATCGCCATAGATCATCTCACACACTTAAGCCTGTCTTCTTCTTTCCCCCTCTCTACGTCTATTTTCCAATAGCAGCTCTTTAAATCAAGTAAGGAGAACCATTTTGTATCCGACAGCGATTCCGTCGATCTAAGAAAAAGGTAGCTGCTATCTTTCTTCGAGATGTCACGCAGCTTCCGATAGTCGACTCAGAATCAGAGGGAAATGACTCAGAAGGTATATACCTCCAGGTAATGTACATATATACCTATATATACAGAATGCACCCATATCAACATTTATCACTCACCAAAGAAAAAAGGATCAAGGTTATGTGCATTCCTCTCTATTTGAGAGGTGAAGATCATGGAGTACTTAACTTCGGTAGCCAACACCTCTTTAGTTTAAAGAATCTTCTTTATGATCTCGCCCTCCTTCTTGTCTATAGGAGCCCGTTTTATAGTCCCTTGTGTTATAGAATCCCGGACTGATATTTTAAGGAGTAGTACCTTTCGCTGCATTTCAGCGTCTCGGCGGATTTTCTTAAGCACATCGGAACCTTCACTGGATGTTTTTTGCACGCGATTGTTTTCTGTGCGTGGACATTCGTTGAAATTATACATACCATTAGGTAGGTGAGCCAGAAGCTCAATTTGTGGGGCATAATTTTGCAAGGTCTCGCTCTGCCTTAGGTAATGGTTCTCTACCTTCATCTAGAAGATTCGTGCCCGCTGCTCGCTACCATAAGGTCTTTCTACTGCTCGCATTAATGCCTCATGTCCGCAAGACTTATATCCGTCAGGATCGGAAAGGATATCTCAGAGCCATTTCAGACAAGGTAATTCCTTGTCGTTTGACTTCTCTACTTTGTTGCTTCAAAAACAATAAGATCTGCGGAGCTGAATAGAGAGGGCACAATTTTCTTTAAGAGTGGACAGCTACTACACCAGCGTACGTCGCTGATATTAACATTTAGGATACGGAAGCGGTGAATATAGGTCTGTTAGTGAAAGAGGGCAAACAAAAGTTGTCGGTGCAGTACCCGCCGATGAAAGCAGAGGAAGAGAAAAACCTCCACTCCGGTGGAAAGACCCGCCAGAGAAGGACCTGGCTGTAGTTGGTATTTCCAACTGGCGCCAAGCAACGAATATATGAATTGAATGGCGCAATGTTGTTGAGGCGACTATACGTCAGTAACGAGAAGGAGAATTATCCCTCTCATGAACGGTCTGCAGGATCTACTCTGCAGGCCCGGAAATGACCTTCAATACCGGTCACTTTGTCTTCGAGCTTATTTTGTCGATCAAGATTTCAATACTGCATTCCGTCGAACAAAATAACCCTTATGTGCCCCACTGTTATTTCTTTAGATAATAACTGTTCACTCTGCCATATATCCACGTTTTATTATATTCTGGTATGCATTTGCGAGACAGTCATATCTCAAATACTAGCATCATTCCTTTGCGAGCTGTCAGATACATGCGTTCCACAATCTCTCCGTAAAGCACTAACATGGAATAAAAAAGGCGGAAAATTAGCTTTCTGTTCTGGTGGTCACCTCCAGGATAACAATTTCAGTCTCTTCAGGGACTCATCTGCACCTCACAGCATCTCCCATCTATTAATTCCTTACCTAGTCTCAATGAGTGCGTACTTAGAACACATTTTCTAGCCGTAGAGAGCTGCTAGGGGTGATTTATTAGTAAAACTTCTAAATGGACTGAATTGCAGTTCTTTTCTTTGAGATATATGAACCATTTCGACGTATGTGACATGATTTCAATTGTTATAGCAGAACAGTTGATTGGACAGACTCAATTTTTGAAACGAAAAATACTAACTCACCTATCTTATTAAAAAATTCACTAATTTTCGTTGGCAGTATATTTCAGCTAATAAATATAGGTGTCTGTAGCTGAGCAGCTTTAAATCTCGACACTTAACGAGCTCTTGCTTTCATCACATGGTATGTAAATTCCGTACGTCATGTGGATGGCGCCCCTCTTTTCAGTTGGGCGGGAGGAGGATAACCGTTGGGCTTACGCGTGTAGAAAACTCCTAAAACGAGAACTTTGACTCATTTTATACTTTTATCTTTAACGTAGGCGAAGTTTATCAGTTTTACTAAAAGACATTGAACATACAGTGAGTCCGTAAGACATAGAAAACGCTTTAAAAGAAATGAGTTAGTACATACGGTATTACAACATCAAAAACAAGGCCAACATTCCCCGGGCATTGTGCTGGATTGATATTGACCCATATTTAAGGCTCTTAGAAAAGAAGTATAAAAAATGTAGCAGATGTGGTGAAAATAACACTGCTTATATAGGTTATATATGGGTTATAAAAAGACCTCAACAACATCCAAACATATCTACTATAGAAAAAATTCTACGAAAACCAAATTTGTATCAAACCAAGCTTTAAGAGAGATAACTCAACCTCCAGCGGAAACTGCCGGGAACCAAACCTATGAGGCAAGACCATATAACATCCATCCGAAAACCAGCAGTTTTGTTTTGTTGTTTCAGTTGTACGTAGAAAACTTGAAGTGCCTCATTGGACCCTTATACTTCAACGAGAAGTTTGAATGGGACAACTCTCAACACAGCCGGTTTAATGTACCGGAATTGATCCAGATTTTATCCGGCCATGGGCTGTCACCTTTTCGGTGATCTAACCCCATTTAGGTTAACAGGTTACATTAATTTAAGTACGCCAACGGAGCAACGCCCTGGTCCGACGGATTACTTCTGCTGCGTGTGCAGAAAATACTCCACCGCTCCTCCACCTCGGTTAGGTACAAGCAGTGCAATAGTTGGAGTCACCTGCTCAGGGCTTAAGACCCATAGGGAGTGGACTACAAGTTATGTGGCCCTATGCTTCCAACACCCAAGTGCACCCCAAGACTCCACGGCAGTGCTTTCAGCATCTTTGCCCACTTTGGGTAACCAACAGACCTCTACGGTCTCACGGAGCTCCCCGGACTGCCAACAACCACCACACCATGCTTACCCACAACTAGCTTCTCATCCTCTGCCCGTGCACAGTCTATTCCGTGTGTCAGACCATAGTGCGTCGGAACATGACCTCAGTCAGATGAAACTTTTGCTCAGGCTGGTGGCATTTCCGTGCTGTAGGAGTCTGCCCAGGCCTGTTTCAACATCTATACCGCCAACCAACACCAACGTGCGACATTACAGCAGCACCACTCCCTCACCCCCGAATCACAAACTTTCCCCCGAAACAGACCCAACTCCTACAATTTAATTGCAACGGAATCCAGGGGAAGATCGACGAGATAGTCGACTACATGAGCCGGGAGTACCAGTCAATTGCTGTGATCCAGGAAACGAAGTTGACTGCTTGCTCAGATCTTCTGTGAACGTTACTTCCGCAGGGTCGTGACCGCTGCCGCCCATTTCATAGCGGCACTGAATTGACTCCTTATCGTGTAACTTCTTTAATGAATAATAATGGAGAAAATAATATGAGCTGCAGAGCTAAATAGAGAAGATATAATATTCTATAAGTGTGTAACTGCTGCCAGTTTGCGCGGTTGGCGGAGGACAAGGCGAAATATCTCGTGTCCTGTTGACACTCATAACTTTGAAGTTGTAGAAGTCTATCTTGGAACCAGTATTAACACCGATAACAACTTCAGACCCCTACTGGTTAGGGGCTCAAGAATTTATCCGTGGTAAGGCATGCCTGTCGTAAAATTTTATCCGACCCAGGGCAGTCACTCCTGCAATATTCCCCGAAAACCGATTCGGGGAATATTTTGTGGTCACAACAGCAACGTCAGCCAAAGTAGATAATTGAGAATTAAAGTCCTCTCTCGACGAACAAAAACCAAACTTTGCAAGTCACACATTATTCCCTTCCTTCTAAATGGTGCGAAGGCATGAACAAAGACATCTGATCAAGTCGGGGTTGAAGTTTTGAAGATAAACGGTTTGTGCGAATACAGCAGTCAATTTAATAATGACTAGTTCGAGGCATACGGTGACATCAACACAGTACAGCGAATCAAGGGGCAGCGCTTACGCTGACTAGGTACTATGGTTCAAAAGGATGGGAACATTCTGACTTTGAAAGTTTTCGACGCAATACCCGCCGATGAAAGCAAAGTAAGAGCAAACCAGGAACAAAACTCCCTTCCTTCGGAAATGAATGAGGAATTGAGATGAGTTTTAAAGAGATTCCACTTTCCTTTTTTAAACAATCATTTCATTGGATTAACACATTGCAAATACACGATTGGAAAGCGAACGGAGTGCCTTACTCTCCCAATGTCATTAGAAACTAATGCAATGACTTCATAATTTTTTAATGCCGCAAAGTAAATGCAAAACGTCTCATTATCAGTTAATGCAGAAGCGATGTTGCAATACCTTACATTTTAAATTCTATAGATGGAAATATATAATGGATAGAATAGATCAATAAGGATTCAAAAATTAAAAATATTAAAATAACGTTTTTCACTACTTGACACACCGCATTCATACATACTAACGCATCCTTTCCCTCAACTATAGTGGGTATGTATTTGGATTTAATCTGGAAGTCCTGTTCGTGTTGTTGATATTGATTTAGCAGCAAAAATGTTCCCCAAATTTGTATTCGGGGAATATTGCGAGAATCACTTTCCTGGGTGGGAAAAAATCTGGGTGGCAAAAGACCCTTCTATCTCAGGATCTATTAAATTATATTGTATGTTACAAGCATTCCTTACCGTGGGTAAATTCTGGAGCCTCTAACCCGCAGGAGTCAATTCTGTATTATTCGTCCGCATGGATGTCTGTTTTGGAAACACACAGATTATTAAATTCACTTCACGTTAGTGCGTGCTCTACCTAGCGATCTATCTGCAGTGTCTTTTATATACTTGCATATCGATCACACACTTCTCTGGCAAGTTCATAATTGGTATTTTTTCCACAATGTTGTACTGTTTAGGGACCAAAAAACTGTGAGAGTCCTTGGGAGTCTTGAGCACTTACCTGTAACATACTACTTAATAAGCATTTTTTATGTAATCCACGAATTTAAGTATAAATACATTGACTTATCTAATAAACTTATTTATTTGTAATAAGAAATGAAATAATTTAGAGCTCTTCATGATTTATAGAATTGTATAGATCTTTTATCAGTCTTTCTATCTGTTGTGCTATTTCCAAACGAAACTCATCTTGAACGTACATATACCGATTTTTAATGGTTAATAATGTATGTCTTAACTGTGGGTTTTTAGACCAAACTGATTGACAAATTTCAATAGAACTTTCTAAGCCTGTAATGAAATACTCCACTAAATCTGGTTGATCTAGTAGTTCGTATAGTTTTGAAGAAACCAACACGTCAACAGTCTCACAAAACGCATTTGATTTCAGCCATTCTGCTAGATTTAACTCAGCGTATTGCGCAGCAGCCAATGGATTATCCGAGTCGGCGTAATTTGAAAGAACAAGTTTTTTTTCAACGATTACATCGCTTATGAGTGTAAGGGATTTCGCTTTTACTTTCAATTCGCATTCTTTTTCCAACACCGCGATCAAAGCTTGTGTTCCAGACGTTGAAAGTATTCTTTGTAATGCCAGAGGAAATTTTCTTAAGAGGCTACCAAATGCATACAATGCAGAAGATAATTCTTCGGTGTTTGTTGATGAAAGAAGAATTTGAGCCAAATGTGACCCAACATTTTTTTCGAACGCCTTAATTTGCGCTTTAGGATTATTATGAGTTAACGCTCCAAGAACGCGCACCGCTTTTACTCTCAAATTTATATTTGTCTCGTTTACCACCAGCGGAAGAATAATTTGTTCTAAGCCACCCATGTCAATGAACCACAATGCGTTGTCTATCTGATGAACAAGGTAATCTAGATCTTCAAGTATTCGAAGCTGAACTTTTATTTTTTCTTGCAAAGACAACGAATGATCACGCTCTTCTCTGCTAAGATTTTTATATTCATCGATGAGCCCGGTTATTAATTCTGCATCTGTCTGAAACTTTTGTTGCAATTCTTTATAGGATTCTTTTAATTCATTGTATGTTTTGAAGTTCTCTTTAATTTTCTTCAAACTTTCTGGAGAAAGGGTATTACTGTTTTCTAAATTATTATTGGTGGTTTCCTTCAAGTTTGTTCCATAAACATTTCCACCAACAGTAGTTAATGCACCTTCATTTCTATGATGATTCTTATCCTCATCCTCTTCATCACTTAACAATTTGGCTTCTTTTTTACCGGTCTGTAAATTTATCCGAATATGTAATCCAGCAGGAACACCTTGCCCTTGGAAAGAAAATTTGAGATAACATACATATACATATACATATGTTTATAGTTATTTTTTACCGTCATTTATTTCCTGCCATTCGTTAGTTGCATGAAAGGTTTTGTTTTCATCTTTTCCAGAGGTTATTGCAAATTCACAAATCAATAGAATACCGAGTGACAAGGCAAACTTCATTTTAAAAACTTGAAATTAATGTATTGCTTGTGGATTTTTCTTGACTAGTATTAACAGAGTATTTATTTGTTTACAACAACGTGTCCTTCGAATATTGTTACCAGCTGTTCACAAAGAAGTTACCACATCTAAATAAAAGCAAAACTTGAGCCATTTTTGAGGTAGTAAAGGATTGCAATAACCCGGTATTATTAACATAACCACACATCTTACGACGTAACTGCATATGTAAATTGTTGATCGCAATTTAAATGTCTTTTAAACAAATCCTAAAAGACAATAGGTCAGTGGCAGTGGCAGTTTTCGATATCAGTTGCAGAGAACGTAAATACAACAAATATTTACGTTCTCTGTCAGCTGTTTTTAGGAACACTGTATAAAGCAACATTATACAGCAGTGGCAGCCATCATAGAGGTTTACAAGTATTGAATATTGTACAATTTTTAGAAATCTGTCAACTCGCATTTGGCTGTCCATCACAGGGTACAGAGAACTTATTCAGTTATTTTGTTTTGAAAGTTTTGGGGGGATTTTGCGTGTGATGAATATTGTGTTGTTTATGCACCGGCAACTCTACTTTGGTGCTGGTTTAAAAGTAACGCAAAGTATTGCATACTTTTGGGCGTAATGCAACTCAACCTTGTATAGATTCTTTGCTTATCTTTTTCTGTTAGTTTAATTATCTTTCCACATTAATAATTGGCTATTTAGATTAAAAATTAATTAATTGATCGTTTTGATGTGAGTTTCCAAAGGTCAGAGCAAAACACACACTCTACTCGTGCATACCCACAGTATCTTCTTGTTATTTATTTAGCAAAATTATTGATTTTATTTTATTTCATTGGCGTCATTATAGAAGAATTATTCCATACGGTTAAGCTACCATTGTAGTATGGCCAAATCTTTGAAAATACCACGGGATAATAGTCTATGCACCTCTTGTCGAATCATTAAAAGAAACTGCATCCAAGCTGCTATACCTGACTTATTTTATTCGAAAGTGTAAACTTATGATCAGCAATAGTAATTGCTCCGTCAGAATTGGGAAGCATTTCTTCTTCAATACTAAATAAACTTTCAAGCATATAAAGAATCCCGTACCGGGTGTCTTTAATTTGCTGCTGCAGAATTTGATATGAGTTGAAGAGCTAACTAAACGGAAACAAAATCAAATATCCGTACCCACAAGACATCACTGCACTTCCGGAACAAACCTTACTTTCGTTGAGGATTAAAATTAACTATATCCCCTGCGGATCCTTGGAAGTTTATCTCGTTATCATATCTGCCCTTAATTTTGTTTGATGGTTTGAGTTCGCGTCTGACAGGTTCATATGCGTATGAATGTACATACTTCTCTACTTCTCTAGCTCCAAGAAGTCATATTCAATGCCTTTAAAAAATTATATCTATGTTGCAACTTTAACTCTCTGTTATTTTAAGTATTTGCATTATTTTTTAGATATTATTCGAATGAAACGACTTGATATCATAATCTTTGGAGCAACAGGCTGTGCGGGGCGTTTTACAGTCATGGAAGCAGTAAGAGTTCTAAGATCTTTTTCGTGGGGTATTGCGGGACGAAATAAAGTAAGTTAATATGCAGTTATACTAAAGAAGAAGTAACAGTGCAGTATAATACTTATTTTATAAGCAAAAAATGAATGAATTATTACAAGATGTTGGATTTCGATCAAGAAAAAACCTTTCAAAAACTCCTATAATTACGGCAAACTTACGACATAAAAGATCACTCTACAGTTTAGCCAAAAAATGCAAAGTAAGTATGAATATAATGGTTTATGTTTGAGAAATGATCATGTTTATTTGGTAAACTGAGCATTAATTCAAATCATAAGAAAATATATACTTTTATTTTTTGCACAAAGCAATCAATTTCCTTTAATTTCATAACATCGCCACACTGATAAGGTCCAAACAGTTTGTTGACTGTGGGCTTCAGTCTTTCACACAATACGCTCGACAAAACCTTATAGGCGCTTTTAAAAAAGCTTATCCCACGATAATTAACGCAGACTGTGGGGTCCCCTTTTTTATGGATTGGGCAGAGCATACTTAAATTCCAATCGTTGGGCATGCTTTTGTCCGACCGTATTCTGCAAAGTAGCTGATGCATGCACCTTGCCAGCTGTTCACCGCCATGTTTGAATAGTTTTGCCGGTAGGCCGTCAGCTCCCGCCACTTTGATGTTTTTTAAGCGGACGATTACTATTCGAACTTCTTCATGGTCAGGTACTGCAACATCTTTTCCATCGTCATCGATTGGAGTTTCGGGTTCACCATTTCCAGATTCTCCATTTTCACTACTATTCAGCAGGTGGGAGAAGTGTTCTCTCCATAAATTCAATATACTCTGGGCATCGGTGGCTAGATCATCTCTTTGTGTCCTACAAGAGTCTGCTTCAGAGTAGATCTGTTAAATTCCCTTTCGATGGCGAGGCAGCAGAACCATTTGACAAACAGCACGTCCGCTGTCAATTTAACAATTCGAAAGTCATTATATTACAAACAAACCGTTATAATACAAAGCATATACAAATAATTGGTGCTTTGTAACCTCTGAAGCGATTTTTCTGCAGGGCTCCTCCTCCAATTTGTGGTTTTTGAGTAATTTAGCAATTTTTCTGATGCATTAAATGACAAAAGAAGTGTCCCGAGCTAGCTTGCTGATCTGATATTTTTGTTATTTTTAATATAAATACAGTTATGAAAAGACAAAAAGCGAATATCTAGCTTATACCGAGAAATTATTTGATTACGTAAGAATAATAGTCCAGTGCTATTTTTTCGAGTGGCTTTTATTGTGAGAATCAAGAAACCGGCAGTTAAATTTAACGATATGATAATGTCCTTTTCATTTTCTCGACCTCCTGTTAAACGCTTATTTAATATTTAACGAAAGGTGACAGTACTGCGATTTGGAAGAAAGGAACAACGCAAATCAGCTGTTCTAAACGTAAAGTGAATTCTTTTAAATTTCTCTTAGCAATATGGCGCACAGGTGCTTTGACCGCCAATTAAATTTAACAGCCACAAAAAAAACACGAAAACGTGTTTAAAGAGAAGTTAAATTTTAACAGGCAGGTGAAAAAGCGACCCTAAGAGTACGCTATAGCAAGGTCTTACAAGAAAATTTATTTTTGAATTTGGCTTAAATTATTATTATTATTACTTAAAGAAAAAGAAGAATTAATTTAATTCTTTTCTTTCTTCTTAATTTTACTGTTTAATTTTGTGTTGTACGTGTAAGTTTAAGAAAAAATAAATAACCAAAATTGGTTAGCCATATATTAGGCCTGGAATTCATTGGATATGAAGAAAAAAGTGCAAAAAGTCGTATTTTAAGAAGTTTTCGAGACTAAAAAATAGCCCTTTTAATTTGTAAGATAACGTTTTCATTCAGCTTTTTTTTTTGTTGTCCAGGCATATTTGCCATAATTAAGTTCAAATTTTTTTTTTTTAATAAACAAATTAATAAAAAATTTAATTTTTTGTGCACCGTCTTCCATTTCGATGTGAATATTTTTCTTTTTACTTTATCAACTGGCAAAATGTACTTTGACATGGACGAAAAAGCAGTGCTGCCAAATTTTTTTCAAACATTGTAACCAGTTCGCCAGAATACCAAATTCAATTTCGGGTGTTAAAAAAAAGTAACAAAATTTACTTTACCGGTAGCAGTGAGAATAGGAAAAAAAAATCTGTATGCATAGCAATACAAATTAAATTCTTTACTTTTTTTACTCTTTAAGTTTGTGAGTGTGAATTTAATTGAGTATGTAGTTTTGTTCATATTACATCATGCAAACTAACCACGATTCATCAAAACAATATTTTTGCTTCTTATTTGTAATAATACAGATTTCCCGCTTTAACAAACATCAACACGAACTATAAAATAATGAGACTTTATAACTGTTGTTTAATTATTTACGCTGTTTTGATCTATATAATTGACAATGTGGCTCCTAATTGTGATATTATTATAAATAATGTGGCGGTTAAAAGCCACTACTCTACAAACATTGTTCCTTTTTTAAACAAGTAGTAAAGAAGATAAAAAAACAAAGTCGCACTGAATCCATTGATAAGGGACAAAATAATAAAAAAAATTGTAATATCTTATCTGAAGCTACCTTCATCGCTACTATATTCGATTCAATTAATATACATATGTGTACAGTTTTTGGGATAGCGTTAGTTACATCGTTCTCTTCTGGATCAAAGAACCAAAAGTATTTATTATGTTCTTATAGGTATTAGTCAATTGTGCTGGGCCGTATGAAACTTATGGAGAAAATGTTGTCAAAGCTTGCATTTTAGCGAAAACTCATTACGTGGATTTCTGTACAGAATCGCATTTCATGGATATTATTCACTACAAATTCGATGAATTAGCGAAAAAGAAAGGCGTTTACATTGTGATGGGTTGCGGACTACAAAGTATGCCTGCGGAAGTCGGAATTAACTATATAAAAAATAATTTTAACGGTAAGTTCATGAATGAGTAAACTTGTGTTGTTTTCTCCTTGCTTTGTTGTAATTCAATCCCTTTCTTTAAACAGAAGGATTAACAAAGTTGCCTCACCTCATAATTAAAAATTAATATGAAAAATTGTGGAAATTGTTTTTTTTAACATAATTGTAATGTAAGTTTTTAAAATTGTTTTAGACTTTACGAGGGTGCTCCATGCGCACCAAAAATTTCCTGTTATGAGGGCTACAGTCGGTCATACTCATCCCAAAAATAAATACGTTCCTTGGGGTAACTAATAGTTTTTCAGGAATTTGTTGTTAATTTTTATATATTGACTGACTGAAATTGTACTTAAATATCACTTATAGTTGTAATAACCAAAAACGTTTATACGAGCTGACAACTGTCCGGTGCCACATCTGCTTTGAACTAGTTGTATACTTACTTACTTACCAATGCGCATTGGACCATAAATCTTACTCAAAACCTTTCTCTTGAAAACTCCTAACGCCGACTCATCAGATGTTGTCATCGTCCATGCTTCTGCACCATATAGCAGGACGGTAATGATGAGGGACTTGTAGAGTTTAGTTTCCGTTCGCCGGGAGGGGACTTTACTTTTCAATCACCTACTCAGTCCAAAGTAGCAGCTGTTGGCAATCGAGATTCTGTGCTGGATTTCACGGCTGACGTTATTATTGGTGTAAATGCTGGTTCCTAGGTAGACGATATTATCTACGACTTCAAAATTGTGACTGTCAACAGTGACGTGGGAGCCAAGTCCCGAATGCGATGAATGTTTGTTTGATTACAGGAGATATTTCGTTTTGCCCTCGATCACTACCAGACCCATTCGCTTCGCTTCTTTATCAAGCCTGCAAAAAGCATAACTAACGGCTCGGTTGTTGCGGCCGATCATGTCATTATCATTGCCTTGCCTGTCAGTAGTTGTACACTCTTACAGAAGATTTTACCTTCTTTATTCAGTTCTGCAGCTCTTATTATTCTCTCTAGCATCGAATTGAAGAAATCACACGACAAGAAGTCAACCTGTCCTTCCTATTTCTGACTGCTCTTCTGGAGTTGTCTAGCGTTAGCTTACACAGCTGTATAAGTTTTACGGAGATACCAAACTTAGACATAGTGGCGTAAAGGCAGCTCCTTCGTGCTGTCAAAGGCGGGTTAAAATCGCAAAGAGGTGGTGGGTGTCTATCCTCTTTTAATGGGTATTTCCCAAGATTTGTCGCATGGTGAATATCTGATCAATGGTTGACTTACCAGGTCTGAAGCCACACTGATAAGGTCCAATCAGTTTTTTGACGGTGGGTTTCAGGACCTTTTAAGTGATATTAAGGAGGCTTATCCCACGGTAATTAGCGCAGACGGACCCCACAGTCTATTATGGATTAGACGGAGATTGACCATATTCTGCAAACAAGTTGATGCATGCACCTTGTCAGCTCTTCACCGCCATGTTTGAATAGTTCTGCCAGTAGGTAAAAAAGAGGCATCTCATCCGAGGCGTTGCAAAATTCTTCATTGGGGCTGGTTTCTACGTGGGGGTCCCAAATCCAGCGCACAACCTTGCTAGGCAAGTGGAATTAAAGTTTTTTACACATTTATATAGCGAGCCGCTACTAGTCATATACCAGTCCATTTAGCCATGTTGAATTTCTACTTCACAAAAAAAAATTAGTTTGGAGAGAATTGAATCGCGAACTACATGCACCACAGTGGTGACATCTAACCACTAAGCTATTGTTATGATGTAGAAAGCAATGAAATCTTCGCAGCAAAGCAGAACTTATAAGAAAACTCAGTGTAGTGTACTAAACTAAATAATAAAAATATATATATATATATAATATAGTGATTATAAAGCGCTAACTACATATATATATATATATATATTCATTAACACGTGGTTATGTAACGGCCATTTAAACTTCTTTCTATTTCTATTAAGTAATTTTTTTTAAAGCGGTAGAAAATAATGCTGAGATGATATAATTAGTTAACATAAAAGTTTTTTTTTTAAGAAATTTTTTGGGAACAATGTGCTTACATATCTACGGTGGGTCACAGCTTATTTAATTCAGCAGCCGACATAATTTTGGAATCCCAAAATTTCTAAACTGAAAGGAATATTGAAAAAATTTAAACGCTATATTATAGAGTAATGAACTTTATATATATGATATACTTCATTTATTTAAAAAATATCTTATATTCAAATAAACATATGTATATAAAATTAAAATTACTGCTGAATTTCAGGTCGCAGCTTCTTCGATTCAGATATTTTTCCATCACAAGGCGCCAGATTGTCGCACGCATAATTGTATATTATTTTGCTATATATTTGCGCTATATTGTTCGAAAAATCACGGTAAACTCCGAATTATCGGCTCCAAAATTGGTTATAGATTTTCAGAAGGGTTGAAACTATCCGACGCGTACTTCCCGAACATGATTTGAAATGCCGAGTCGCTCGTAAGAAACCGTTTATTAGTAAAGAAACCCCAAATATGTCGATTAAAGTTCGCTCAGGAAAATGTTGCTAAGACCCATGATTTTTACAACATGGCAAGATTTTCAGAGCTCCAGTGAAACATGGCGGTGGAAGTGTTATTTGTCCGCAGCCAGTATAGGAAGTTTGGAGTTTATTGAAGGACAATGGACAAAAATATGTACCTTAATATCTTGAGAATTAATTTGCTGCAAAGTGCCGAGAATCCTAGTAATAAAAGAAAAATTCCGCTTTCATCAAGATAACGACCCAAAAAGCAAAACAGCACTCGTTTAATCCTGGCTCACATGGAACTGTCCCCATTTGATGACACCCCGGCACAGTCACTTAATATCAATGTTATTGAAAATTTGTAGGCTTATTAGACAAAAACATTCGAAGCCACAAAATTTCGAACAAAGAGAATTTGAAAAAGGCGCTACTAGAAGAATGGCAGAAAATTACCCCAGGCGAAAGGCTTTCACATAAAATATTAGAATTTAAGATTGAAAGTGATTTGTTTATGGTATTTTAGAACGAACTGAAATGTATCAAATAAGCTGTGACCTGAAATTTAGCAATAATTTTAATTTTATATAAATATATTTGAAAATAAAATATTTTTTTAAATAACTAAAGTACATCATAAACATATATGAAATTCCTTACTCTATAATATAGCGTTCAAATTTTTTCAATATTCCTTTCAGTTTAGAAAATATTAGGACTCGAAATTTATATCGGCTGCTGTATCGAATAAGCTGTGACTCATATATATATTATTTATAAATACTTATTTTTTATTGCTGTGATGCGTTTTCCAGGTACCATTAATAGCATTGACGCTTACGTTGAATTTTGGACGAGTAATCCCTGGTTACTTGGACCGATAGCAAATAGTAACGTTTGGGCGAGTTTAATTCTTGCAAAACGAAATATGAGAAGATTTCGAAGGAGGTTACTACCGAAAATGGATCCGATAGCTCCACGCAGGTGAATAACAATTGTATAGAATTATTTCATTATTTTTAGAATCTTGTTTAATAGGTCCATACTAAGTGAGTCAGATGTTATTATTGGATTTTGTGTTCCTGCGCCTACCGTTGATCAAGACATTGTGGACCGAAGTCAATTGTTTTACTGGGAGGAAAAAAATCAAAGACCCATACAGTTCAACAGTTACTTTGTGTTTTCAAAAAAATATCTCATATTAAGAGCCGTTTTCATCATCCTCGGTTAAGCACTTAATCATAACTCAATCCGAGGTGGCATAAATTTCGTTTTCACAATGTCCGGTTAAGACGCATCTGCCAATTAAGTTGTAGTTAACTTAACGCCAACTTTGAGTGGCGGTTAGCTCGAAGCCAGAAGATAATTCAACAACTACATATAATAAAATAATAAATACAATTGTTAACTTTAAAATAAATTTAATTAGGGAAAATTTAAAAAGTACTGAATATCTGCGTGACTTAAAATAATTTGCTTGGAGTAAATAAATATTGTTGGTAATTTATTTGAATTAGTAGGAAGTTTTTAAATTTGTGATGCTGTTTTGTGCAGAATAAAAGTGGCGACTGCCAGTTGGGTGGTATATGGTGTTCATTGCTGTAGAGGCGCTTGTGCAATCATTCATCAGAATGCCGATAAAAAGCAGGAAAAATGAGAGCACAATGAGCCCATTTCGCTCAATAGCGAAGTTTCAAAAGGTGTTGGTGTGCTTGGATTGCACTCATGTCAGAATCTCACCACCTGAAGAAGAAATTGTCGAAAGTTTTCGAAAAAGAAAAGGGTACTTGCAAAATAGAAATAACGGACTTTGTATTCAGGTGCCCTGGTTCTGGACATGACAGCATTACCTCCACTCCGCAGGAAGGATCAGGTGGAAAGTGCGTCACTCAGTATTTCCAAGCGCAAAAAAGGAATGAATGTCGCGCTATAATTGATTCCGCTATAATCACGTAAGCGGTGCCAACGCCAATAAAGAAGAAGAAGAAGTTCAAGCACATGAACCAGAAGACACATCCCTTAATGACGACAAAAACATAGCAGAGATTTTAGGAAGCCATATACAAATATTACATATATTTTATACATCTAATTCAAAACCATCAAAATCTTTTTTCCAAAATAAAAGTATATGACCATTACCAAGAAGTATAATTACCAGAAAATAAAATTTTAAATAATAAAACAGAAAACGCAAATACCAGCTGTCATGCAATTTTGTTGTATTCACAACGCAAATTTTTTTGAATTTACCTTAAAATATTCACAATGATCAAACTTACCGGAAGTTAAGTAGCCAAAACTAAGAAAAACCGAAAGTGTCACCGGTTTACAGTTTAAATTAATCGGACATTGTGAAAACGGGCCTCAGTTTAGTTATAGGCTCAAATATTTTTAGTCCTATCTAAAGATATGTAGAAGGAAAAGGAAAATAGGGGAACTTAAAGATACAACATATACTACATACCTCGATATTAAATTTATAAGAATGCCTCTTTTCGGTGAGAAATGTTAGTAAAAAACAAACCAGTAACGAAATTTAGGGCGTACTAAAAGGACGAAGATTTATGTAAAACTCGCTTGAAACAATTTGTCGCTTAAATTTTCAAGAAGAGTGAAATGCGAAATGAGTTTGGAAATATTTTTCCGTGTATGCAGTCAAATACTAACTCAACATTATTATAGAATTTCTCTGATTCTGATAAAATGCAAGCATATTTTTAAAGAGCTTTTTTCCTTTTAAATGTAATTATTATTTCAATTTGTTCGTTGACGTAATTAAATATAATTTAAAAAAAAAGTTATTTGATCACTTCGTTTGTTAGTGTATCATTCTTAAAAAAAAATTAATATAAGATTCATTTTAAATCAATTTGTCTTGTAGACGAAAATTCCTATTATTTTCCCAGCAAACTAAACGTCCGCTTCCTCGGTTACAAAGCGCCAGTTATAGGCCTCGAATTCTCGAACAATTTTTAATGCTGCATTGCAATTAAATATTGCTTATAAAATTCTATTGAAATATAAAACAAAACCCAATATACACTTGGATTTTAATTTCTTATTTCATATATTTCAATACTTACATACACACTTTTGTATAGTTATAAATTTTTACTAATTAGAGATAAAATATTCCATTCACCAGAAACCCTGTCATCGCTTTATTGCTATTGAGCTGGTACTTTATCATATTAATACTTACACAACTTACTTGTACTCGTCGCCTACTATTAAAATGTCCTAGTATCTTTTCCTTCGGTATCTTTACTTCTACTGGCCCCTCTGAGGAGAATGTGGACGACACCTTTTTTCAAATGACTTTCAAGGCAGAAGGTTGGGATAAAAGCGTAAAATCTACTCAGCACATTTTCCCACATCCTCCCAATAAAGTTGTAATCGGCAGAGTAAGCGGTGCATGCCCATTTTACGGAGTAGCGTGTATTTGCCTGCTGGTGGCCGCTGTTACTATATGTAATGAGAGATCCAAACTTCCACATCGGTATTTATTTATTCATATTGATGTACGTATATATATTTAAATATAAACAATCTCTTATTTCGTCAGGGGAGGAGTATATACGCCAGGAGCAGCGTTTGGAGATACTAAAATTATAAATGAGCTAAAAAAATATGAACATGGATTATCATTCGAAATAATTAGCACAGACGAAATGTAATAAAAACTATATCATTTACTAAAAGTAACTTGGAGCATTTGTATACTACATGCTTTAGTAAAAATTATTCTTAAAATTCCCTGCTGAAGAGCGACCGTATAAAACAAGATTTTGAAGTATTTGCTATAACTTGGCTTCATTCTTTCCAGCTCATCCTTCAATAAAAATTAAAAATGTTAATAATGTATTATATAAACATAAATGCATATAATAACTAGCATTTAATAAAAAACCATTACATACATATATTTATTTAAAAAATGGAGAACAATCTTCCTTCTTTCACGTTAATGCTTTTGTGAAACACCTGGACATTCCGGGTGCATGCCCTCAAATCGTGACCCTTAAACATTTGCAGATGCTGTCATAAAAAGCGGGTCTCTCCTCCGAGGCTACCCACAACCGCATGGGGTTCGCCTTCTCACTTTAGCTAGCCTCAAAACGGACGTTTGTTGGCTACCTAGAGGATACTAGTCCATGACAGGAAGTCGTGAGCTGCTTGAACCATATGCCAAAGAATCATTTTAGACCACTTCAAGGTGAGTTACAATCAAAAACTTTCCTCACTTGCAATGGCTCTATCCTGACTGAGATCAAAGTCAACGAGTTAGAAGGTCGATTCCGAAATTTCCCGTTAAATTGCTGAACCGCTTCGCCGAACGCTCTCAGAGCAAAAAAAAGAATGGACGCACCCCAATTCGAATTCTTATCTCCAATAAAATCTCCAAATGTAATCGTGGTGAGGCAATGTCTAGATGTGGACGTCATCATCAACTACAGATATTTACCTGAAGGCGATTAAATATCGAAAAAGGACATGGAGATGGACATAAAGGTATGGATGGAAGCGTTAGAAGGCATAATGCCATACTTCTTGGAGTTCTTGGAGTACGCTGGTAGCACTTGTGAAGAAGAAAGATGGCCACTAGCACTCCTGTATGAACTATCGGAAAGTAAAAGATGTGCCAAAGAAAGACCGCCATCTAATGTCAGGGAACGATGATACTATGAACTGGTTGATTGGAATGGTTCAAGCCCTCGACCTTAATATCGGTTATTAGCTAGTGGAAGTAAGTACGGAAGATAAGGAAAAGATAGCCTCCTCAGTGCCGGAAACGATCTTTGGCAATTCATTTTTGTACTCTGCAATTCTCCCGTCACTCAAATCGTATTAAGTGAAAGCTGTGAGGAGAACTCCGACAATTTGAAAGAAGTTTTCCAAAGGATAGCCGGCGCTGGTCTCAAAGTCCTGTTATTGTTGTTGTTGTTGTAGTAGTAGCGGTTCGCTAACCCCATTTAGGTCGAGCCTGGATAAGTAAGAGTTTAAACTCCTACAGTATCCAGACCTAAGTTGTGCCAAGGTCACGCGGTAGCTCGAGCCCGTTGTCTGCGATGGGTGTTGGTTTTACTCCGAGCACGCCATTCACTGGAAGAGAGTCTTTGAAGGTGTTGACTGACTCATGGTGAATGGCGTTCAGTGCCTGTCTGTAAGCCGTCCTGCCCAGCGGTTGTTGAACATGTTGCTGAATGTTGTTTTTTAAGTCAAATACTCCTTTTCTGATGTGCCTACGTGGAGGTTTTTTTTCCTTTTGGGGTGGTCCCTGCGGTAACATCCCAATAGGAACTGCTTGCACAGCATAGCATTATGCTCTTTGGAGATTTTAATATAAATTGTTATTTACATATTTATGTATTCAATTTGAAAAAACGAAAGTGAAGAGGAATGACAAATAACGAGTAACTGCTATATCTATACAGTTGTATGAGACATCCCACAATAACGCGGCGTCAATGTTGAGCAAAAGGTATTTTCAATTTTGGCTGCGCGTTATATGTGAGGAGTGCGAAAGAAAGGAGAAAAAACTGACGAAAAGAAATAGGTAAATGGGAGAAAAACTTGATAAACAATAAGTATTGTTGCGAAAATGCGAGGCGAATGTCAGATGAAAGAGAGAAGCCGATAACTAGTACATTCTAGAAACGATAAAACAAGAACCTTCCATAGCGAACAATTCGATGCTTCTACGCTTTCGTCTGCGAGCAGCCGACTGCTATATAAGGGCGACACTCAACTGCAAGTGAAGTTAGTGACAAAGCGANTTAGTGAAATCGTAACAATATGTTCGAGGTACGCATATATAAAACGTAATTGAAGTTATGTGAAACAAAATGTTGCCGTACATTAAACTTTTTTCCTTTCTTCATATTTAAACAACACAGAGCAAATATAATACTACAGCTTATTTATTATGTGTAATTTTATATTTTGGTAAGTAGCAAATATAACAAATTTTGGATAATTTTTAGTCTTTCATTGCGCATACTCTCGGTTTGCTTACTTCTGTAGCCAGAGTTCAGCTGTCAAACAGCAAATATGTTCTATGTGCATTAGCCTTTATGTGAAACAGCTTCTACTCGTATTAATCGATTTCGTGTTATTATTCGAAGAACCTGTCTGATTTCACAATTGTGTTTTATATAAATATTATTTTGAGAATAAAGTGATAATGTCTCTAACACGCGCTTCTAGATTATTGCAAGCACGGATTATACGTATCCATAGTGTTCCAGCAGTATTTTATCATGAAAATGTAAGATATTTTTTCAAAATGTTTTCATGAGTATTTCATAATAAATGTTTACATATAGATGTACATACATATATTGTCACAAGAAATTCTAGTTGACACACCGTAAAATATGTTATAATAATTTTGGTTTTTATATTTAGGTGGTTGAACACTACGAGAATCCGCGAAATGTAGGTTCACTTGACAAAAAAGATCAGGCGGTGGGCACTGGTTTAGTTGGTGCACCTGCTTGTGGTGATGTTATGAAGTTGCAAATCAAAGTAGATGAGAACGGTAAAATCATTGATGCAAAATTTAAAACTTTTGGATGCGGTTCAGCTATAGCAAGCAGCTCATTAGCTACTGAATGGGTTAAAGGAAAAACCATTGACGAAGCTGGGAAATTAAAAAATACCGATATCGCTAAGGAATTATGCCTACCTCCAGTAAAATTGCATTGTTCCATGTTGGCTGAAGACGCTATAAAAGCTGCACTTGCTGATTATAAAATAAAGCAGCAAAAGAAAGATAAATAATCTGATTGTCTAAAAGTGTGTTAAGAAATATAAATATTAGCGTAGTTGTGTTTATCAGAGAATCATGGATTTTCAAACCTATATATTAGCAGGTTAGTAAAAACCAATGAATTCTATGTTTGCCCCGAGTAACTAGTCTACTATATAAAATGAATAAAATTCCATTTTTTGTGTGTGGTACTTAAAAAACTTTTGTATATGTCACACATTCTTTTATTTTTTCGCGACAAATACATTATGAATCATCCGCTTAGTTTAGGAAATGCGTGCTATTCGAAAAGTTCTTGGTAAATTCAACCAAAACCATTCAGTTTCGCCTTTGCTACATGCTTCATTTACAAATCACGTCCGAAAGAGGCACCAGAGTAAGAATTGAATTAGATTAAATTTACCAGTTGACCAAAATTATGTAAGATTGCCTCAAATAGTGACAATCTTTCGCAAAATAAAATCCGTGTCAACTCCGGCCGGTAAAATTGGCTATCTTGAAAGTCGATATCATGATCACCAATATTTCTAAAGTCGACCATAAGGATTGTCATAGTTTTGTTCAGATGTTTCAAAAAAAACTTAAAAAAATATGGTTATCGTTGTCGAGTTTTACAAAAAAGCTTAAATACTATTAACAAAACCCGCGGTGTATTTCATTGAATCAGTTATGGATAAACGTGTAAGCTCAAAAAAAATTGTAGTAGAGTTCAAAAAAGAAAAAGTTTTATTTTTATGAGAAAATAATATACTTACATATATGTATAAGCTCCTTGCAGAAGCTTCGACGGCAGTACAATCTGTGATGTCAGCAGTTTGAAACGCCTTCCAACTCTAAATCCTTTTTATAACTTATGGAACTCCTAGGATCATAATATTCTCCACATTATATTTATTATTGTACGATGTTAAAAAGTCCTTAACGTATGTCAAGAAATGTAGCAGTTGATAAATAACTTCCAACAGAATATAGTAAAACAGTGATAAAAGAAATTTTTATGAGAAACACAGAGAGCTTGAGATAACTCCCAAATGTTTGTTATTAAAAATTACAATCAAAGCTTTTTTCGATCTCTGGTTATAACAAAATTTTGAGATTATGTCGGATAATATAAAAATATATTTATTAACTTATTATAATTATTATACTTTCAGATCTTCGTTCTCTGTTTTTATTTGATTAAATTAAACGATGGAAAATTATGAAAGCTGGATGGAAATCTGAAGTTATAATGGAGTAACGGTGATATTGGATAACTGTAATGTGATAGAGTATGAAACTTTGTATAAATACTAAGATATTGCAGATAATGATTCAAATATAAATTTATTTCATCAAATACATTTTACGTTTTTAATACATATTATTCGTATATGATACTTATGAAAGTCGTACGCTCACATTACCGCCGCATTCCCCTTTGGTCTTAATGTCATATTCTGGAATAGAAAAATAATTTAGATTATATTCATTTAGGATTTAACTTTTGCTACTGACGGCCATCTGGATGTTCACAATTGAAACGTCCCATTACACATTCATTTCCAAATGTTATAAGCTTGCTACCACTTTTCTCTTTAGCGCAAATTGGTTCATATTTATCACCACAATCACGAGCGCATGCCGGAGCTTGCTTTTTCCCGGCTGGAGATGCAAAAGTAGCTGCTGTGAAGCAGAGAACTGAAAGAAATCACAAAAATAAAGTTGTAAAATACAATATTAGGTGTTTTAAAGAAAAGAACAATTGTAAAAAGCACTAGAGAATTTCAGAGCAACTTCCCGAGAAATCTTATACAATTTTTTAGGGTATAGTAGATGGACCGACCAATTACGAGCAACGCCGCTGTATTCACTCTAGCGGCACTTGCAGTAGTATGCAGAATCAAGAAGTGAAGGCTGTCGAATGTGGCTAGCAGTAAATTTGGGTTATTTAGTGCCGGAATTTTCATGTTATCGACTTTCACATCGAGTTCGTTGTACTCCTTCATCCAGTTGGCGGCTGAAGATTTCGCTGGTTCTAATTATAGGTGTCGCGCTATGAAGAGGTGGAAAAAGTAAGCGAGATAGCAGTTTATTTTCGATTACCAATGTCCTGAGCAGACGCCAATATCATCGGCATATAAGATCAGAGAAATGCTCTGGGGATTGAGGGAAGTGGGGGAGGATACCACACTGCGGACTTTGCTTTGAAATAATGTATTCGAGTTCCCTGATAATATTCGCGAACAGCTGGACGTAATGAATCTTACCTAGATCGTTATGCGCTTTAAAATCCGACAGGAGCAAACGGGTTTCGTTTTTAAGTAGTTCACTTACCTAAGGACGGTATCCGACTGGGAAACAAGTAACAGGAGGATTGTATATATTATATTCGTACACAGTCCGTCTCAGAAGATCAGAGCGGCCCTTTTGTTTCTTTACAGTTAAATTTTAAGTCTAGTCTGTCTCGTATGGACGTTTCGTAATAAGGGGAGTGAGGGAGTGAGTGTGGGTCTAGGATGTTGCTGCTGTATAACCTGTTGGATAGAATGCCACATATAGGTGGTAGTTGACGGTGGTGCAACATTCCTCTAATGGGACACTCGGGACAGAGCGGGGCTCTAGGAGCTACTGCGAGTTTCCACGCGGGAAGTGGAACTGCATGTAGCTAGAGTGGAGAATTGGTAGTCATGTAGTGGGAAGCTTTATTGGGCTTTTGAGATCTGGGGATGGTTACTCAATGAACAACTTAAGCATCTTCTTTTTTGTCCGTTGCTTCCGTTGATTGCTCACGATAGAGTCATTCCCTCTGCTTTTTCAAATGGACCGATCTACAACTACTAAGCCGTCACCGGGTGATTGTACTGGACTCGAACCCTGACCTTGTGAGTAATAATTAGTTTGTTGTTGTGCGATTCTTTTGGTTTTTTCTTCTTTTGCTAATACGACTTACGCCGTCACTAAACTGTCCGGTCGCTTTTGTTAATTTTGACACTTTCAAGGGTAATAGTGACAATTTACATAGGATAGTGGATTTTAAAGCAATTAGTAATTTTATTGCAATTTTAATTTACTAATTGCCTTAATTCATTATTTTAATTTAACAGTGATATAATTCTACATTTTTAAGCCATGCATACATGTGTACATATATATGTAAAGCTGCTCTGCAACAATTTCTTAAGTTTTGAATGTCCCGAAAGTTTTTTTCAGAGAAACTAGCTAAGATTTTCGTTTCCAGGAGCGTCTTACCGTAGCTGGAAATTTCATAAATCGCAATCAACTTAGCAAAGCTCAGACTATAATAACGCTTGCTTAAACCTCAGACGCGACCCAATGTCATGGAAGTTATCCGAAATAAATCAGCTGGGTAAAACACATATAAAACCTAATATTAACGCAGATATTAACAAAGTTTTCTTTAAATATTATATTATTATAAAGGCAATAAGCTTCAAACGGAACATCAGAAATGACAAAATATAGTCGGCACTCTATCTTTAATAGAATATGAAAGATTTAACAATTAATAAAATAACTTTAATTTCTTATAGCACATTACATAATGTTTCCATTTATTTAATGAAGTTAACTATTATGGATTTCACAATATCATAGAACATTTATTAAACTCATTGATGCAAATTAAAATACTTGTGTTTACTGGCCCGTCCAGCTTCCAAAATTATACAAAACTAATTTAAATATATTTTCTAATAGCGATCGCACCTCGACTGGAAATGTCAACCCCTCCGAGTGTTTCTCAGACATGAAATTAAAAGCTCCTCATAAAAATCCATCAGCTGCTCTGAAGCAACTTAGAATAAACTGGGACCTACTGACAAGGCACACGCCTCAAATTTGATGAGAAGCTAGGATGAAAATCCGTATTGTATTATTGTTAGCATTATTCAGTAACAGTTAAATCCTACTTGTGAATACACTATCCTTGATAATTTATAATATATGTTTATAATTGATGATAATTTTTAGAACTTAACAAAATAAAGACGCATAGTTTTGGCAGAACTAAGTGAATATGCTCCTTTGTTTGTTCATCTACTTTGGCTAGACATATTTTATATCTCCTCTTACATTTATAACCAGTTCCGTCACTGATTGATTGTACTTAATATGATTTCTTGGAACTGTTCTACATATAAAATTCACCGCTGTTATTAGTATAAAAATCACTTTGAAAGCTTAATATAGTTAATACATATGTATGAATTTATGTATATTTACCGGCAAAAATCACTATTAAAATCCTCATTAGAATTTTTTAAATCCAAGTTAACAAGAAAGAAATTAGTTGTATTTCTCGATATGGCTGAACGGCAACTAATTTGTAAAATCAAGTTTAAAATACAATAGCTGCTCGACTTTTTCACAATAATAACTTTTTAAGTAATGAATACATTCGCAAATGTACAACTACATTCATATCCTATTGAACAAACACCCGGTAGGAAAAAGTGCTGATACCGAACGGATTTCGGATGAAAGTTGAAAACATTGCCAGGGTATAAGGAATTTTTAGAGATATATGTATGTGCGCATACGTATAGGTGTCGTCAGATGTGGCAATTAATACGAAAGTTTTATTGCCTTCACGTATTTTTCTGTCAAAAAGTTTCAGGCTTCTGCAACTTAATTTCCTATAATTGCAGAAATAAATCTTAATTTACTTGCGCTAGCAAATAAAATTTTTAATAAGTTAGTGTGAAATAAGCTAATTTCCAGAAATTGAAATTCAATTTCATTAAATTACTTATGCTACGTGTGACTGGACTAGAAATTAAATTTAGCAATTTGTCATTTTGACATGCAATTTGAAATAAATTAGTTGCTGAGTTTGACCACAGCTTTTGTATGTATGTATGTAGAAATACTAGTGCGAAAAACTTTCAAGACATACTAATTTATATATATACTAGTTTATATATATATATATATATATATATATGTGTGTGTGCATGTATGTGTGAAGGCTTTCATTTATTGTATTTATAATACGAGGTTTGTTCTAATCAAAAGTTGAATTATAATTTAATTTTCGCGTACTGTTCACATTCGCTGGTTATGATATGTTGGCATTATCAGTCAATTTGGAAAAGGTTAATCACTTTTTTGTGCACTTTTCGATTTTTGACTTTTGAACAAAAAAAAAAGTTGTATCGCTCAGAAGCTTTTGTATGACGCCAACGTCGATCCAGGTTTGCTCGATATGCATATATACACCGCGCGTCAAGTGAGCCATTCCTCATTTAAATTTTTTATATATTTTCTACTAATATTAAAAGAGATAAAGTTCTAAAATGTTAAGCTACTTTTTTATGCACTATTTTTTACCAATCAGCCGAAAAATCAACAGTTCAAACCTGGTTATCAGCCATTGGGAAGGCCAGGCCCGACCAACATCCAAAAGTTATAGAAAATCAATTTAAATAAAAAATTGAGATAAATTTTCTAATTTGCTGTCGCCCCTCGACAGGAAATGTCAATCCCGAGTGTATTTGTGATATGAAATGAAAGCTCCTCATAAAAAACCATCAGCCGTTCAGAGGCGGCTTAGTATAGCGGAGGATTTCTCTATTTGTTGGAAAAACATCCAAACGAAAAACCACAATCGGAGGTGGAACTTTGCTGAAAATCGCTTCAGCGGTTAAAAAGCGCCAATTATATAATATAATTTTAATTTTTCTTGTCGATCTAATTCATCTCCTCATTCTGAAGAGCATGGGAGTATTAATTGTATTAATCGGATTTTCCTTTTCGAGCATTAACAATCAGTAGTTTTTTTTAATGTTTACCGTTATTAATTTAGTTTAAAAAACTGTTAGCTCTGCCTAAATGAAGAGTTCTATCCTCCTTACAACTTGAAATGTAACCTCTTCGAATAGACCGAACTATTCTGATTTTTTTTTCTTTAAATATTTTATAGTATTTTTTACACAAATTTAGATTCTAGTAGTTACTACCTCAATTTTTCTTGGACCCGAATTAGTCTGCCAAGCAACGACATAGCACTTTCTCTTAGCCATTGACAGACAATAATTACAAGTTCACATCAAAATCAAAAGCGGTGTTATTACCTGATAATGGTGTTCTAACCTAATGACTCGCATTGTCGACACATTTCGTATCAAAATTGCCTTTGTGTATTCCTACTACAGTTCAACACACATTGATATACATGTATACACATGCTTAGTAATTTCGTCAATTCGGATTTAAAATTCGTGAATATGTAGATTTGAATGTCTACAATTATAACCACATATACTATGAAGTACAATTGGTTAGCAGGTGATGAGATTTGTATATCAAACATTAATTTATAAATGTGTCTGTGAATACAGTAAAGCCTGCGAGCTAATAAGTAGCCCCATTATTTCTTTCTTTACATGAAAAATCTAACATCATCACTGTTATAAATCATCAATAATTTAAAGGTGTTAAACGTAGTGGCAGTTCGTTTTGGGAAAACAAGAAAAAGGGTAGTATTTTCATATTTTCTTTAAAATATATAAGTATTTTTTGTTCAAATATAATGTTAATGTTAATTTTAAAATGGCTGCTTGTAATAATTTAAGACCACACTTCAATTTTGACGTTTAACATTATCTGTTAACGATTTGACTTTAACGACAGTTCTTCGTTTCAGACAAAAAAGAAAATAAATTTAAATTTGAAAACTGCTTAACGTTAACATTTCCTAATGTTACAATTGACACGATAGAAATGCACTGCTGATATCTATGGGTTTTGAAAGATACGCCTGGAAGTATTGCCAATTTTATTCTTAAATTCATTTTGAATGCGAGCTTTATTTTCTGAAACTAATGATATTTCGAGTTAGGTCAACATTAATAATCTTTTTGTGTAGATGTTGCTTCTGTTAATGCATTGCATACTTTTCCATCAACGACAGGCAAAACTAAAATTTATTTAGCTTCTTTGTATTTCCATAAGCTATTTAGAGCCAAATTAACGAGATTTTGTACTTCTATACGAACTCTTTCGTTTATTTTGCAATTGATGTATTTCATCTTGATCGGCCTTAGGAAATTCGTGTATATTTGGCCAGGCAGTTCTAATAAACAAAAATAGTACATAGTTTATAGAAATGAAACAAGGTTTGCTTTACTCATAACAATATTTGCTAGATTTTCCTAGTTAAAAAAATTAATAACTTCGAAAAATTAAAAAAAGTCACTGTGTGCTCCAAAAAAGCACCAAAAAAGCAATTTTCAGAGAATGTTGCAAAAAAACTGTACAATTTTGGTAAATCCTCCATCACTAGATTTTACCTCCTTTCGTTTGGTACCAAAGATTTACTTGCACCTTGAAATTTTACTAAATCTTTCCTTATTACATTACTTATTTTTCTGAATGTAATTTAAATATTGAAGGAGAAGATTTAGCGGTTACAAAGCGCCAATTAATAAAAAGGAGGAAAGTATAAAATACGGCGCCCTTCACGTTCTCTTATATAAAAATAAAGAGAAATCGTGTCATGTAGTGCAGCTACTAATTGCCACAAAATCCGGAAACTTACGTCGCCAGCGACATAATTTCGTTTGGTTTTCGTTCGTCGATGATTATTTTATTTTGAATTGCCTACTCAGTCCAAAGTTGTGCCTGTTTTCAAAAGTGATTCTGCGTTAGATTTCAAGGCTGAAGCTGTTGGTGGTTTGTACGCTGGTTCCTAGATGGATGAAACTATCTACTCGCGGTTGTTGTTTTCTCACAGTTATTTCAAAGGTTTGGTGCACAGTGAATATCTGTCAATTGTAGATGTGTGAGGGCTGATGTCAGACGTCAGCTCTTTGACGGTGGGCTTTAATTTTATGGATAAGACCTTATTGCGATATTGAGTAGACTTATTCCACGATAGCTGACGCAGATCTTTTCAATCCAATTTCCACTGAGTTTAGATTAATGTATTTTAAACCACTCTATATAGAATATATTGGCTGTATTTTCAAATTCCCTAAATATAAAATTTGAACTTGAAAGATACATACAAGCATATATTAAGAGGACATGTTTTGATCGCTCCCATCCAAAGCCTTACTCTTTCATATGTGCTCTGAATCGGCGTCTGCTAATGAAAGTTTACTGTATGATTGTATGCAAATATAAATATATATGTGCATACACGTATGTATGTATATGTTCATATGTCATTTTATGTATATATAATATTTGTCATACTTAAATTATTTATAATTAACTGTAATAAAGCCAAAGGCAAACAAATGAACTCATATCAAACGGACGAGGTCATACATAGGTATGAACATGTATCTGTCTAAATACGCAGTACATACATATGTAGTGCATATAGTACATACATAGCTATATAAATATTAAAAGGAAAGCAGTCAGAAATAAAAAGTGCATTTTCTGTGAGGTCATTTGCTCGCCATTGTGATAATTTATGTCCGTACATACATACAAACAAACAAGCATATAAGAGTAAAAGTAATAGAAAAAGTCTTAGATCTGTATTTGGATCTGCATTTAATTTGTGCTATTTAATCAAATTGAAAGTAAAGCTTTCTCAGCTTCAGACTCATTGTTTTTTTCAGTCTCGAAAGTATTTATATACCTGGGAACCTTGATTATGGAGATATCGAGTGCACCTGCCAGGGAGTTGAGTACTATCTTGCAAATGTTGATAGCGCATCAATTTTCTGTATCAGCACTGCCACCTGACTATCCGGGCTTATAGCTTCCTTCTGTATGTCCTAGTAGTTATTCATTGACGCTGTTCAGGTGTTCTCAATACTAAGTTCTACTTTAAGGATGCTAGCTGCATTTAGAAGACGCTTAGAAAAGGAAGTTTGAGATTTTTACGTTATTAAATGTCCCGTATATGTAGCATCATCGTAATGATCCCATCTAGGCCCGCTGATTTAAGAATATATTTATACATGTTTCAAAAATATACAGTGAAATTTTTGAAGAAAAAAATTAAATATTGTTTAAGTTATAGTCGATCTCCAACGGCGCGAAAAAAAGGTCCTTCACTGCTGCACTGATTCCGGCCTTCTCCGTGGATGAAATCTAAAAAAAAAATTCTCGTTAAACTAGATAATATTGTCTGTACAATGAGCTACGATAAAAAAAAAAATTGACAATTTGGCGGCGTTTTAAAAAAAATAGTAGAATTTTACCCAAAATTTTGGTCGTTTTTGGTCTGCCTAAAATCGATTTTTTCATCAGATCAAAAGTCGATAGGTCGTTGTACGGAGAACTATATATAGAACATGTAAAAAAATTCGATAGTGATCGGATCATTTGTTTTTGAGTAATCACTGCAGCAAATTCGGAAAATGCTGTTTCGAGAAAAACGCGTTTAAAGATAAAATGATCGTTTGAACTCGTAGCTAATGAGACTCTCTAG